TGTTCGTGGTCATATGACTTTATTATAAAATCACGTGGTGATCTACATCTGAAATTTCGGACTGTTTTCGAATTGTGTATAGATGATAGCCACCATAAGAAATTCTTTAAGATGGACAGCGCATGTACCTGGCGAGATTTTCCTTTTGTAATGACAAGTAGCGGTTCGTAACTTTATACTACCACTCTATCGAACCACAATTGTTTCGATTTGTTAATCAATTAGCAGAAAATCTAGTATTAGTATTTATGTCAAACGAGTGTAAGCTATAGGTCAGCTGCTTCGACGCGAAGCATGCCTCATCTCCCTAAAGAATATGTTTTCGCAGTATGCCAGCTAATTGAGATAACAGATGAGACACATGATTTATATTATTATTATGCCGAGGTAAACTATTTACTTATGCGTCATGTTTATTGAATAGTTTAAATGATTATTGACTTGTTATATGTATCATTTCCATTAGTTGTGTGATAAGCATCCAGAAACGAATATTTCTCGTACAAAATTTCAGATCATTCTACGTGTATCGTTTCACAACAACTCTCAAAGCAACAGTTCTCTACAACTCGCGAACGAGCCTTCTAACGATACGGTTTAACGATGAAGAGTTCAGACACACGCCTACTCACGTGTATACACCTAAATGCTTCTCTCTATTGTGCATCGGTTCACAACCTCTCTTCGCCTAAAGCGCAAGTTAAATACGCGACAACAATCCTTATGGCACATACGACAGTTCGATTTAACTCACGGACAAGTCTCTAACGATTCGGTTTATCGATCACCAACTAATGAAAGAGTTCAAACACACGCGCATTCAACATATATATACACCCGAACGATTCTCTATATTGCGCATCGCTTCACAACGTCTCATTGCGTGAGTGTGGGTGCAGATATGATATATATATATAGAGTTCAATGAGAATAGGAGATGTATACGGAGAGTGTTTAAGAGTGATGGTGATGCAAATATTGAATCATCGTCATGATTTCCCGAGTCCTCGTAAACTTGGGCTTTCACACGATATTGATGGATAATAAAGTGACGACACAAATAAGAGAACATTATTATTTCCTGAGCTCACGCCTTCACGGCCAGACCATTGATTATTAAGATAGAGTTTATTCAACTTTTTGAAATTAGGCGGTGCAAAAACCGAGTTGTTTCAATTGCAAGATTCAAGAAACGAATAGTCAATACACATTAACGCCCACTAAATATACATTCATAGATCGAATCAATGTCATGCACATAGAAACTAACCTGGTTAACAAATTGACATGGAAAAATTCCTGTGTTGTATATGTTGCAATTACCAAAGTGTTATTGCACCAGCATTCGAGAAATATGAAACACAGCTTTCCATGTTGCTAAGAATCCGGTTCTCACTGCGTATGTAGATTTTGTCCGTCGCTAATTCGCACGAGTGTGTAATAATTCAAGTAATGCTGAAATACTTGCGGTTTGCCGCTCATTATTTAAAATTGTCTTTATTATTATAAAAGTAATACACTGTTTCCCATTAATGCAAAGATGATTTTAATTAATAGGTTTTTTCAGATCAGAAGTCTTTCTATGCTAGTTTTAATCTGCTGGATTTGTGGCATAAGTTCTGATGCATCATTTGTTGTAATAGATGCAGCGATTACTGCTCGAGTTACTCCACATGCGCGTCCAAGAGCAGTCTTTGATGGAATAAAGACATACGGAACGTTCTAAACGTGAAATAGATCGGGTTTCATGAGTATCCAATACAAGTAGAACTATACTTATAATAGTGTGAATCTAACCTTGTCTTCGCAGAGTAGAGGTAAGTGTAATAAAATTTCGATCGGCTCTGTATCTGCTGTCATTACAATGAATTCTGCTGTACCCCGGTTAAGCGTTTTCGTAGCTAAACAGTGAAGACAACAATCATGTTAAGTGCCCACACCTTATGTGTTTCTTTTCAGGTTCTGAAATTGCTAAACACTTTACCTTCATTTGCACCTTTCTTTAATTGTTTGTAATGTAATGCTTGTTGAACCAAACCAAGTATCTGACCCGTAAGTTCGGCATCTGCTAAAGGAAAAGCTTTGGGGTTTGGTTGGGTAGCCTAGATAAGTACATGATATCAGCAAGGAGAGCTTTGTGAAAAGGTACAATTAGAAAGTAGACTGAAAGTAAAAGTTACTGACCATAGTTTTGGCTAGCAGGGAAAAAGTTGGGGTATTTTTTTTTACGTCAACCACGTGGTGATTATCCGAATAACAATTTTTGTGGAGAACATTCTTATTGGCTACACGTATCATATTCAAAGCGCGCGTCTCTGCTTAACTCATTCATCTTCTATACCAATGCATAGTTGGATTTTTATTAAAGAATACAGTAAGCACCTACGCAATATTCGAGAATTTGGCTATTTTTTTGTATTACTACAATCATTAAATTTAGGTAAAGACAATAACAGTGAAAGTCTACTCTCAATAAGACTGCCTCATCCAAGGACAGGTAACTAACACTACCGAACTACGGGTGGTCTATCTTGAGAAATCAAACTAATCTGTACAAAAAGGTCAAGCGGTGAGGTACATTCTTCAAGACCAGACATTATTAGAAATTCGTAAAGTTGATTGTGGAAGTCAGAGATCGTGGTTCATAGGCAACACTGTTCAAAGCGGTGGGTTTCTATACTGAAATTCGTCAGGTTCGTTTGTAAATAACGCCTCGAAACTGAAAATTTTTTTGTTACAAGATGGGAGTCTTTTTTGTCTTACTCCCATCGATCCATTATTTGTCTTAGTACCAATACTCGACACTTGTCGAAGAAAGGTAAGTCTTAGATAGTGCATGCTATTAAGGTCTTTTTTTCTCTTATAAATACATACGGAATATGCATACTCTAACATTGATTAGACATCAGATTCAAACGGATTGTTTATATCCTTGGAAGATATTCTTGATGGAGAACAGTATCCTAGTTTGCCAAAGCTATCTGCTCTCAACAACATTGAAAAATATCTAGAGTGGGTGTGTGATTGTCAAGGTCAGTGAGTAGTGAGACTTTTATTAAAACACTCAGAGGATGTAACATGATGCGCTTTATATAGTCATGAACTCTGGGAAAGTTGTATTTCGATTAAATGATGAGAAAGTGATGAATTGGCTTAAAGCGAAGGTGACATCAATACTTTGGATTGCACTGTTTGTCTAGATGATCTCATTACTTATTATCCTCTCTAAATTGTATAGATATCTCATATATTGTCCAATTTCGATTCATTTAACAGTTTGAAACAACTGATACAGCATATGAATAACGACTCGATAGATGATCGACTGCGAAAAGGTATTGACGCGATTTATGGTTTGGCTTTTATTTATGCTGTTTAATGTAATATAAATGTCCGTGTGTTAGAGATTCGATTGAAAGCAACGATAGAAATAGTCATGGAGTATCTACCTCCACTTTGGAGAGAAAGGCTTATGGCAGTATATAAGTAAGTAAGCAAGAATGGTTGCGGAAGGACAGTAGTGGCGCGCAAATGTTTAGAGAAGGGTCTGATGACATTTTGAACCCCGCTTTTTATTGTTCGTAGCTTTGATGCTCTTGGAAGATTGGAAGTATCAAACATACAAATAGTGGATAATCCCGCCGATTACTATGCCAGAAAAACAATGCGGAAGGAATGTCTCCCACCTAAAGGACCACCAACGAAGGTATTTATAGAAAAATTTGTGCTAATTGGATATTAATATTAATAGTACTGTAATTTTATGTCACCACTCTAGAAACAGAAGCTATCGACTGGTCAAGCTGTTTTAGCAAAAGCTAATATCAAAGGAATGAGGAAACTGACGACGTTCTTTACAAAAAAATAAATAATGGCTTATAAACAATGGAAGTTAAATTACATCATCTATTCGTCAAGGCAAATCACTTGACGGCCAAATATTTACTTTGAAAATATGCTTGAGATAAAGGCGAAAAATAACTGTTAAATCATTTATAATAATCACCAGTTTCTAAGCTTTGTGACATCAGAAGCAGTTTGCCTTACGTTTCTATTTGACAAACGGACCACGGAGGCATAACCTCTGGCATTACGTCGTCGCTTGGGTTTCTCTCCACTATAATAAATGGGATGCCCAATCTTTAAACCAGTTAGTGCCGTTAATATTAAACAATGAGAACGGGATATATATGGAGATTATACTCTACCTATTTCCAGGATGAACCTCGAGAACACAGAACTTTTGACCTACAGATATTTTTTGCGAGTATTTTTAATTTTCAATCACAGAGTGAAAGTCCCAGCCCATCCTATCTCAGTCGATCAACACTCAATAGCCATCAAACGGATGCAACACTACAAGAATTTGCCATACTGAAAATAACCAGTCTGCATGAAAGTCCTCTACTTGATCCAAACTATTGCCAGCGTCCGCTTAATCTCTTGGCTAGATGTTATCTTAACTTCCGAAAGGAATATTAATTATAAAAGAAAAAGATAATCTCGACGCTTCCTTTTAGGGAATTAGTGACGGATTTCCAAAGAAAAATATTATTTGTTTTCGTCTCGAACAAATTCTTCTTATTATGTAAATACGGGAAACGCGTGCCCTCAATCGCCGTCTACATAAATTAGAACGCGCTTATTAGGACCCAAGTCACATGATATTAAAAGCTTCATTTATTATTATATTATTTAGTGAACATTGACCATATTATTTTTTTATTATTAAGACGTGTACTCGGGTCATGGTTTATTCTAATTGGTCGAAAATAGCATAACTTTATGCTGCGTAAACTAATAATCGTTTAGTTTTTTTGACTCACTAAACAACCGCCACATACTAATATCGTAGCTTCCGATCTGTCAAAATGTCTTGGCAACAAACCGGTGGAGCTCCACAGTACGGACAACGACCGCTATATAGCGGGGTGAGTAGTAACCTGTCGAGCTGATCTGCAAAAGCAAGCCAATTATTAGAGTGATTTCTTATGCATTAATTATATTATTCAGTCCCCGCAACGACCACCACCATACCAAGCACCGCCGTTTGGTGGAAGACCACCGGCACCACCATTCGCTTCCCAAACATTTGTCTCTAATCCGGTACGATTCAAAATTTATTACATAGTTGTATACTTACCTTCAACTCACGTTCAACTGCCGGTTATGTTCATCTTTTAGCATAGTAGTGTCTGGACAGAACACACATCGGCTGATGGCCGGAGGTATTATTACAATACACTGACGAAACAAAGTTCTTGGGATAAGCCAGAGGAGCTGAAAACTCCGGAAGAGGTACGGCTGACTATCTGTCTACTTGAAATTTTGCGCCCATTTATTTGAATAATTCTTATCGTATCATGCGGTATTTAGAGAGCACTGGGGACATGCCAATGGAAGGAATTTACAGCTGACGGCGGTCGAAAGTATTATTATCATGCGGGTACTAAAGAAACGACATGGGATATGCCCGCAGAATACAAAGGTTAGCTGATCTTGGATTTATCAAGCCTCAATTATTCCAATTATTATTCATCTCAAGGTTGTCTTGTAGAATTTCTCGAAACCCTTGAAAAAGAGAAGAAGCCAGCGTAAGTTTGTTTGCAGTATAATGCATAAGCTATCAACAGACGTGGACAATTGAACAACCTATGTTGATGTCGGTCCGTTCAATGTTATTCTTTTTTTAGAAGTCCACTTGATCCCTCAACCCAGATCAACGGTGCAGGTGCTTCGTTTCCAAACCAACAAGATATGGAAAAAGCCCGCAGATTAAGCACTCCTGGAGTGAGCCCTGTAAATGTCACTCCTCTCAGCATTTCCGTACGTCCATCAGGCGTCGCTGCACCAGTAGTCGGCCCGAACGTACCGATAGTCACGCCAGTGCAGAAAATCGAAGTGGAATTTGAGACAAAGGAAGAGGCCCAAGCTGCGTTTAGGCGGTTGCTCAAGGAGTCGGTAAGTGAGGCATGAGAAGATAGGGATTCGATTACATACCACTTTATGAGGTCTGGAAAGAAAAGGATCGTTCTGTTTCGCTACTGGTTCTAAGTGGATTTAATTCGTAGGGAGTAACACCAGATTGGAGCTGGGAGCAAACGATGAGGGCTGTTATAACTAAACCGATGTATAAAGCGTTAAAGACTTTGAGCGAACGAAAGCAAGCTTACCAGGATTACATTGATGAACTGCGTAGGAAAGAAGAGGTAAGGGTTCGCTAAACTCGATTCAGTTTTGTATCGCTCAAGTGTTTGCGGATCTGAAGTTTTCTTGGTCGGGCTCAAAAATTGCAACAGGATATTTTTGCTCACATATCAGTTTTTGTAAACACGTTCTAACTGCTTTAGGAGGAGAAAAAAGCGAAAATAGCAAAAACGCGCGCTGAATTTATTGAACTACTCGAAACTCGCCCGGAAATCAATTCATCTACACGATACAGGTATGTTTGTTAGGTCGGTGGGTATATCTGCCATTAATTATAAACTGCACACGTGAGGTAGAAACACGATAACGGATAATTGATCAAAACGGAAAGTTTTTAAGAGCAGACTTTCGTGAACGTCTATATTGAGTGTATGTATAATGCTTAACCAAATTTCCATTTATTGAGGTAGAAAGATATGTGAAATATTTGCTCAAGAACCGGCATTTATGGCAGTTGAGGATGAACGACAAAGAGAGAAAATGTTCAATGACTATATTTACGAACTTCGTAAACAAGAAAAAGTAAGATACCTGTTTTATTGTATGATTGTGTTATCGAGAGGTAAATGCTTATTAGCGTTCCCTAATACTTTAGGAAGCAGCTCGTTCAAAACGTAAAGAGAACATGGACAAATTTAGTCGCCTTCTTCGCTCTTTATCTAATATTGGAATGACTACTCGTTGGAAGGATGCCCAACAAATATATTCTTCTACGCCTGAATACCAATCTGATGAAAGTCTTCAGCGTATGGATATGCTTGATTTTCTCGCCGTTTATGAAGAACATATCAAGTCTCTTGAGCGCGAATATAACCTGAAGAAGTCAAAGATGGCAGACGCTAAGAAACGAAGAGAGAGAAAGAACAGAAGTATGTTTAGAGAACTATTGGAGGAATTGAAACAAAAAGGTGTCATTACGGCCAAATCAAAATGGTCCGAGATTTATCCGCTGATAGATACAGATGAACGATATTTGAATATGCTCGGCCAACCGGGATCCAGTCCGTTGGAATTGTTCTGGGACGTTGTGGAGGAGTTGGATGAGATTCTATACCAGCAGAAAAAAATGGTGATGGACGTTATGAAGGTAAATTTCCACTCTGATAAACTTTAAGTGACTGAAGGGTAAAACTAATGTTAAGCTTTAATTGCTATAGAAAATGAACATAACTGTAGGTCCATCGTTGCCATTAGCTGAGTTTATGGCGACAGTAAAGTCGGATGAACGGTGTTCAGGCTTGAGTGATGTCAATTTGAAAATAATATACGAACAGGTGAACATTGCGAATTTAATCATGATTTTATTGATTTTGCTGATGGATATGTTTAAAAATATCGAACCGGTTTGTTCCTAGTCTCTTAAAAAGCAGGAAAAGAAACAACGTAAAAAAATGGAGGCTTTTCGATCCATACTAAAGCATTTTGAGCAAATGTTTAACCCCGACATCACGTGGACACAAGTAAGACCAATACTAGAAAAAACCGAGGAATTTCAAGCCTTAAATGAGGAAGAACAACGAATTGAAGTCTTCAACAAATTTAAAGATCGATTGAAGGTATCTACTTCTTTCAGCCCGCGTATCTGTTGTCGGTTTGCGTTAGTAGTAAATCTTGACCCTACCCGACACGATGTGACGAATTAAATATTCATTTATGCTTAGGAAAAACACACAAGAAAAGATCAAGCAGAGAGCGATGATGAAGAGGGGACGCTCAAAGACGAAGAATATGATGAAACCCGCCATTCATCTAGTGATCGTAAGCGCAAGCACAAAAGCCAACGATATCACCATCGACGGGAACATCATCATTCTGATTATTCTGGCGACAGTGAACATAGTGATAGAGAACGAGACAGCGATAAACGAAAAAGACGAAAGGTATGAAGTTACTGGCTATTCTCAATATCTGATTGTCGTCTCTAATTTAATAATAACTCTAAAATTCCGCATAAGTAGAAAACATCAAAGCACGATGATCATCACTACACAGATCGCTATTCCGATTCTCACTATACACGCCATTCCGACTCTCGCCACTCTGATTCTCGTAATGATAGCCATTATTACGACTCCCGTCACTCAACATCTTCACCCCGCACAGAGAACTATCGAAACAAAAATGAGGCGGACAATAAAAATGGTGTTATGGGCAGTAGAGACGAGAGTAAGGAGAATAAGGAAGGCAAAGAGGGTAAAGAGACTAGAGTGGACAAGAAAGAGAAAGAGGAGGAAGAGCTGCCGGTGCATATAAAACATGATGATTCAAGCGCAGAGGAAGGCGAGTATGTTGAGTGAAGAACGTATGCAACGGCATAGGAACAATCATAGGGAGAATATAGGTTGGGAACACGAGATAGTTGTGGATGAGATGTAATTTAGGATTCGGATGAAATCAAGCGTGAGACAAGTCTGCAAATAATCCCTTGCTATGCTCTCACTAATCCTAATCCTCATTCTAAGAATTACTGTTCTATCTTTCCGTAATATGTTAAGCCCAATTCTCTCCCCCACCCATTCACCTGTCTACTTGTGTTTCGGTTGTCTTTTAAATTGCTCTTTCCTCCTATTCAATTCAATTCCGTATTTTTGCCTAGCTGATATAACATTCAGATGCTTTACACCCATGGAAATATAAACGATTATTTTCGCAAATATAATTCCAAACGCTGTCGGTTATATTTGTGGCATTCCCAGCGGCTTTATATTGCATAGAGTAAATACGAAGGTGAGATCTATTAGATTAATTTAGTTAAGGAAAAAATAAAACTGGCTAATAAATGATGTTGTATGTGGAGGGCTAACACAAGACTGTTGCAGACTTTGTGGTGAATACGAAGTGTTAATGATCTTGTTCTTTGTCGGCGACGTGGTAATTTTTGGTAGGGTGAGAGTGTATGATTAAATGATAGTCTTGCCTCTATATGGATATTGAAGAAGACGCGTTCTCCTTGATACTAACTACTAATATGGCAGACTATGAAATAATATTTCTTTGACGTTAGGAATCATGACGTTGGGAATGATCTAAACGTGAATTGGGCTTTCGGTTTTACCTGGAGGTATCAGCATTTCTTTTTCCTTTGGGGACGTGTAAAAGATTTTTTCGACGGTTTATTACGAGGACTCTGTTGAATGAGAGTATTAGAACTATCCCACTACTTAATCGTTGAAATAAGCTTACCTAAACTATTATCTGTACAGCTGACCGCGAGCAGATATTATTCTTTTTTCTTTTCTCCTATATGATAGATCGGCTTTGCTCGTTCGTTTGTAACAACCGCAAACTAATTAAAGTGTCTAATGTTCAAGCTTAATCTCATTCAACCGTTCTCGTATCCCATGAAAGAGGTCTTTATTGACGAAATTTATGAAAAAAACCCATGGCAGATGCTTTTTTGTATAGTTCGATACAGGTGGGGTAATCCGATGCATCAGTAGATCTTTAAAATGTATCAATATTGCTCAAGTATGGATACTCTGTCAATAACTACAGGCGATGCAATCTTGAGCAGTGACCCCGATTACCGAATCAAAGAAAAAGACTTTGACGTTTGAGAATCAAATGTTTTATCCTGGCAAGATTTATAGTTTTCAAATTACAGATTACCATTATAATAGGAATATAGAGCAACCCCAAAATAGACAAATAGTTTGATAAACTGAATCCCAAGGTCAAGATACGAACGATCCCCCTTGATATTACAATTAATTATAATGGCGGAAACACTATATAGCGCGTCGAACACCAGGACTTCACATCCCATTTGATAGGGAACTTAAGTAAATGGGCCTATTTCTGGGTGCCAATGTCCATTATTAACTTACTACCCTGTCAATGAAGTAGAGTTGATCACTAAACCTGCTTCCCAGATCAATATAGCAGACTTTGGTTATAATATGGACAAAATCTTCAGGATTGTCCTGTGTCATTCAGTGATAGTTACGAGAAGTTGATAAGAACTATTATTTATAAAACAGGCCATTATGAATGGAACATTCGATCATGTCAGTCAAAAGAGGCTGATGTGGTTGGCATAGGCAATGGATACTCACTAGCATTTCAAATTGCTTAATATTAACTATAACGTTAAAAACGAAATTAATAATTACAATTACAATACAAATCAATATAGTAATAGGATATGTTTATAAAAGAACAGGGTGAAAAAATTGTACCTTATGTGTTTAAAGGTACTGTAATTTAAATTTCAGAAACACTTGCTTTCTCGTTTTTAACAAATTAAATTCCGTATAAGCAATAATAATAAGCACTATTAGCAACCATTTGAGCTTTGACAATTCCAGGATTAGCTGTTCAAATATAAAATTGTAAACCATTCAATTTTTTAAAGAAAATCTTATATTACTGATAATGCCTGCAATGCGGCTAGTATGTTGATTTGTTCCTTGCCTTTAAAGGAAAAAATGGAAGAAAACATTCAAAAGAGAAAAGAAGTATTGCTGATTATGCTTGCACTTAGCCTCTATCATTCTACCCGCTTCGGTCAATTCAAAACTAATAATACGGACTTGGCGAAATCCCTTTTATAATAATAGTTAAGTAATTTCTCCGTTAGGAGTTGGTTGAAAAATGACTGGCGAAATCATGTGACTGCAGACTTAATGTCTGTAGCCAATAACATGTGTAAAACGTGATAAATCGCAGAGAGAAAAAATTATCGCTTGCTTCAACCCGATTCAACAACATGCATTTAATGTACTATCTCGACGAGGACGGTAAACGTGTTTATACATTAAAGGTAAGTACTACTACACAAAATTACTATAATAGAGTCAAGGGTATACTTATCAATAGCCAAGCTTAAAACTTGGCGTAAAGAACGATCTACGGGACTTACACAATTTTGAAACTTTCACGTAGAAACAGAGTCCAAAACAGGCGGCTACCAAGTCAGCACATCCTGCTCGATTTTCGCCTGATGACAAATACTCCCGACACCGTATTACTTTGAAGAAACGATTTGGACTGTTATTAACACAAAAGCCGGCGGGTTGACCTACAGTTATACCGAAGTGTCGGGGGAGGCATCCACGATTCGGTATAACGAGATATTCGTTATAGTGATAACGAAGTTAGGCCTAAGGTCAAAGCATTATTTGGTATAATGCGGCTCATGTGAACATCTTTATTTCAATATAATAAAACTGTTATGTTAATCAGTAACAAATGAGTCTATTCGAATCTGTTTTTGCTTTGCAATACTATGCAATTCCACCTTTCTCTTCAACGCACGAAAGCTTTAAATTCATCATAATTAATTTTTATGTCGCCTTGTTGAATGTCGTTTCAAATCGTACGATTAAAATCTTATAACGACTTGGATACGACGCGCGAAATCGAACCTCGGTAACGGTATAAAGAGATTTTATTATTCGGGAAACGGTGGGGCAGAATTCCTTCGTTATAGCGAAAAATTCGGTATAACGAGGTTCGACTGTAGTGATTTTGATACGGTGTTTTGGATAATTCACCCGTAAATAACTCTACAGCGAATTTGATAGTAGCAAATGGGTTGTTGCTGCAAATTAAATAAAATTTACAGTTTGTGAATGAAAAGACAAAAAAAGAACTGTGATATGTTACCGTTTTGTTCTGCTGTCGATTCATTATTTGTACGAACAGTGGAAAAAATGTGATGATGTATGAGAGTAAACAAGTTGATTACCACAAGCCAGATCAGACATCTTGGTGATTTTATGAAAAAATTAATAATAAAGTTCCTGTATCTTAGTCCTCGGTTATATTCCGTCGGTTATTAACTACAAAAGCCAGCGGAGACACGATGACTTTGACAGAAAAAATGTGTTGACGTCATAGTCAGGCAGGAATTGAAATTTCCCATTCGACAAGCGTGTTATCATTCTTGAACATAAAACCACGTAAGCTGGTAACGCCACCGGTGATAAGATGGTCATAATATCTCCAATTGTCTCCATTTGGCGACAGTTGGATAATCATTAAAGCCACTGTCATCCCGTCGGATTTGACATTGTTCTTGAAATTATGAGTCGGTCAAAGCTTAAACTGGGTGAACAAAATTCCTCATGATAGCAACATGACTGATACTTGCTTAAAATACATACTATTCTTGTTTTATAGAACAATGAAAATGTCAGTTGATCAAATCCACATCAATGACAGATACTATGTACACATTAGTATAAAATTTAAAATTGCATGAGCTAATTCAACGTTCAAGCATAAAGGTGAATCGATGGATGCCGATAACAGTGACATTCAAACATGACAATTATATTATTTAACAAACAATTAATAGTCTTTTTGCACACTGGAAAGTATAAAAAGCTACCTTCAAAATTCATCGAGCCACTTCATTGATGCCATATGTGTATGTTTGTACTACGTGTTGAGAATATTTTTCTTCAAACTTGAACAGAAAATCTTTCTCTATAAACCATCTTGAGTATCAAATGACTGCTCTTACTATTTCTTTGTAACAACGGAAAGTATATTGACTGCAGATGGGATGAAAACGTGAGAAGAATCTTTTCCCTCTTCTCCACCGCTGAGTACAAGCATATTCTCTACTACAACAATCACTACTACACAATTGAGTGAAAAGACAACGGATGAGTCGAATTTGTCATGTACCAAAGACAAGTCGATGATTGGAAGAAGGACTACTTCGATGAAAGATCAATCCGAACATGGAATACTACGCCACAAAATTTTACACAAAACGCCGGAAAAACAAAATTTATCTATATAAATGCGTTTTTTTATTTAATTTTATACTAGTATAAAATTCCAACCTACCTCGACACCGAACTCGTCACCTTTATCCCCATTCATGGATGTCGACAACTTCAGACTACGCGCATCGCTTATTTCGACGTAAAACTTCAAAAATCCATATTTCCACATTTTTCTAATTGGTTTTGCGTAATTTTTTGTTTGTCAGTTCAATCTCTACGTGTTTCTTGGGATATATAGACAAATTAGAAGGAATTATTCTTCGGTATCGTGTTGGAGTAGCGATTACCAGTAATAGTCATTCGTTCTAATTATATAAATGCATTTGATGGTGCAGGAAAAAAAAATAAGAAAAGAACATAATCTGTTAGAAAGTGCCGAGATATAAAATTTTAAATCTGCTAAGGCTGATATTTTGAGTAAAAAATTTGGTGTTTTAAAAAACAGTTGATCGAACTAAAATTTGCAACATATACAATCAGGGTTTATCATACATTATATGCGGAAAACTTTCAAACTGTTTATTTATTTTTGTTCCAGCGTAGGAGCAGTCTGATACTCGTGCTCGCTGTCGTGTCTAGGAAATAATACTAACGTACTATTTGCAATTTGTTTAAAGCAGAAAATTATTAAAAGTACAAGTCGACTGTTAAAAGGTAAAATTTCAATGAAATGCTTCTTTCTGATAGATTGTTGATCGAATAATACTATCTCCATTCTATTGAATTCAGCCTCGTTTTACACAATTCACAAGGAACATCAGAAAGAAATTTATACTTTCTATACTCTGTTATTATTATTGGGGGCAACGAATAATGAAAAACCGCAAACCAAAAACACAGTTAAACAATGAAAATTGTAAAGACTTTCGCGAACGGACGAGTCGACGCGTCACCTATTGATTCCGGATTTTCGAATTTTTTAGGGCGTATGGTCATTTCGAAATGAGGCTTTCTATGTCACTTTTTAAAAAGTATTAACCAAATTTAGCATTTCTCCATGACATAATTGATCACTCTGCCTAACTTTTATAACAATAGATTACTATATTTGTCGTTTGTGTACACAACTAATATGGAATTTAAAAAAAAAATGCTTCTGCTGGAGGGTACAATTCTCCCGCACTCTTCTCATTATATATTAACGGATCTGTGCCTTAACATCGAACACGGACTCGCGCTTTCTCTCTCGCTTTCCATTGTTAAATACGTTCCAGAATCGAAGAGTTTCATCACCGGCTCCCGTGACAATATTCTGGCCGTCTGGCGATACTGACAGGTAAAGGACACGCAAAGTGTGCCCTTTTAGCACTGCCAATTGTTCCATCGATGGATATGACCATAAGATGACTTGATTCTGTGAGTAGCCATGAGTTGATACAAGTTCATTGGCATGTTTAGACCAGGCAAGGTTACAGACCTGAATGAAGACAGTACGATTTTTTGGTTAATAATCGAGATCGGTTCCTTTTACTAAAGTCTGATAATTTCAACCTCTAAGAATACAACTCTTATGTACCTGAGACTCTGTATCATAACTCTCGAGCACGTCACCCGTGAGTGTATTCCAAAACCGTATGTGCTTGTCTTGTGAACCACCACCACTGGCCAATAATCCATGTGAATGTGGACTCCATGCAATGGCTTTGACTGCGGCAGCATGCTGTAAAAATTTATGCACTGGAGCTGTATTTCCGCGTTCCCATACCATCAATCTATTATCGTTGCCTCCACTGGCCAATTGAGTTCCCTCTGGGTTCCATCTCAGCCCGCATACCTGTCCATATGTAAATCTTATTACAAATGTATACGGTGACGTCAAATTCGAAGTTTGGAAAAACTAACTCTATCGATCTTACCTCTTGTTTGTGCCCGTTAAGTATGGAAATACAGTCATCTTTTACTCTTACATCTCTATTGTATATTAGTCTGTCGCGGCTCCCTGAGCTGACAGTACAACCATTCCAAGCAATAGCTCCTAGTAGATAATTACGTCATTAATAAAATGCATCACCGAGTCACGTCACATCTTATACAAATAGATATATAGGCACGCTAAATCAATCGCTAATTACCAACTCTTGATGTGTGCCCTTTTAGTTTCCTTATTTTCTTCGTCCGCTCTACATCCCAAATTTCCACGGGTCCTAAATTTGTACCCACTGCTATGTGCGTGCCCTTGAATGTACAAATTAAATAAACAACTGCAGTTCAATCGCAGCAAAACAAACAACTTTGTCTTTTAATGACTTACTGATGCCATCCAGCTTACAGACGTTACGCTATCTGTATTGTCTGTTGTAGCTAAATCGCACAACTTTACTACCTAGTATGAATAAAATCACGCGAAAATACACAGATTGACTTGTTAAATGAACATTAGGCATACTCTAATACAGACACGTAGACAACATCATTCCACACAATACCTTCGAGGTCACTGCGTTCCAAAGATAAACACAAGGACCTAGTCCTACACCGAGGATATTGTTCGAAGACCAATCTACCAGGTTCAAATAAAAATCATCTTGTAAATCCGGCGCGTCCAGTACCTTGTATGGAAATTTACTTATGTATCTAGGAGGCTTCCGAGGACTTGTTAATATGATCTGGGCCTCATATGGAAGGGGACTCGTTGAATATGCTTCACGATAGGGTGAATCAACAAAAACGGTATGTTTCCTTCGTGGTGATCGAAATGAAAGTAGGTTGCTAGATGGTGATAACGGCTGGCTTTGGTTTATACGACGAATTATATCATCTGATGTGTCTCTCAATGGGAACATCGATGATTCTAGTACAGCTCTATAAATACGATCATCTTCTTCTGCATACACCAATATAACGCGAAAAAAACTGCATTAGATGTAGTTGGAATTAGAGGAAAATCAACAGAATATTAGTACATACCTTGTTGTGCTTCATCCTCAATTAAAGATGCAATTTTGCGTTTTTTTTCATTGGAGGCTCGAGGAGCTATTAATCTCTGATACTCTGCCACAGGATCTCCAGTCCTTATTGGTATGTATCTGTATTAAGAATAAGATCAATATAGCTCTGGATCAGTTTACCTACAACCAAAGTAATTGATAGATCACAGTCGTACCTACCTATCTGCATACTCGACGATCGTCCTCTGGCGAGGGCTGTTTGGCAGCGTAAAGTCGCCGCTAGTATTAGAACTCGATTGTGGTGGGACATAGAATGGGTTGTCTAAGCTGCTCATAGTTTGCTCTGTATTAGACTTTATTGATACCAAAGTCTTTGCGTTTGTTTACGGTCTGATGGTTGTATGCTAGCTGTGTTTGACAAAACTGTGCAATTTCCTTTTCCGACTCGAAAGACGATCGTCGATCAATTATGTAATATTAACTTCCAATAAGATCCAGGGGCTATCGTGTTACGTTGATGCTTAGGTTTTTTCGACAACTTTTTTCAAGACTTGAATATTTAACTAAAACCGATCAATTATCCTCAACCTTACGAAGACGTTGTTTCCTTTACTTTTTTCCTAAATAAGTTAGATGACCGAATTTTACGAAAAATGTTAGTTGTTAATATTAATTATTGCGAATCACTTTTGTATATAGCCGTATAATTCATTGACGCAAATTTTAAAAAAGTTACTGTTGTAGGCAACGCTAACAAGCTCTCTCTTTCAACATTCCAAAATAGGTTTTGTTAAGGAATTGTAAAACACTTTTCTAATTATTGATACTGAATCCTTATCTACGTTGCAATCTACGTTGCTTTATTATTGTCGATAAATAATAATTAAAATTTGTATGCAATAAACCAGTTTTATGTTAATGTGGGACAATTTCTGTTATAATCATTATTGTGAGGTTGCGAGTATGATAGAACCCTTCGTCCGTTGTTCAGCGAATTGCACATTTCGTAAAACCGTAAGATTAGTTTTTGATACACTTCTGGACAAAAGTATCGACCGGTAATTTTTTTAACTTTACGCAAATCCATCGTAACAATAATAAAATATTTTTACCAGTCTGTAGCTTAGGCTTTTAAAAATTTCGAAGTGTTTTGCTTCCTGAAACTCAACAATATTATCAAATTTCGCTAATCCTTTGTTTGGTAATGATTGATCGTTTGAGAATGATGACGTTTATTTAATTTTTGCGCAATATTCTTCTAATAAACGAGTAGTTCTCCAGCGTAATATTGTGGGGCTGTTCCACCCGAGAAAGTTGGCCCATTAATACGGTGGTACGGGGAAACTCTATAGAACTTCCTTGAAAACTCGATATTAATACTTTATACTCGGAAATACATTAATTTTCTGGTAAATTATTCGATGTAACGGTAAAAACCGCTAATTTCTGTGTCGATTAGGAATATCGACTTCTTGTCTCGTGAATATAGAACTATGATTGTTATTTGCTTAAGTGGAAATGCACTTTAAATTCTAACCTATAGGCTTCCGAATTATTCCATCGGGAGGCTCGAGGACAAATAACCGTCTAGGATTAGCGTCTACCGATAGCACTGAGATCGTGAGTAGCAAGCTTCCGGAACAGGACTCGTTGAAAATTTAAACATTGTAATTATTATCACGTTGCCTGTCGCACAAGATCAACATGTAACGATTCACGTGTGTGAAATAAATGCAAAAAAGCTAAAAATCTAGTTGCCCACAATTACCATGCCTCTTCACGTCTCCCATTCAACGTTCCCCATTAACTTTTCACGCTTCTTGCCTATACTTTACTCTATCACCCATTTCCCACAATATTTCCTACGCATCCCGTCTCTTTCTCTCTCACGTTCTTTTCACAATTCTTTTCCCAGATATGTCAAAAAACCAAAATTCAAAGTGCCGACATCACCTGATCCGCCAGCCCGAGACAGCATATCCGCTGGAATGCACGCGCTCGGTGCCAGATTAAATTTGAAATTTTCAGATCGAAATATCCTGCTACAGGCTTTAACGGATAAGACGTATGCGAATACTGATTTACCTTCAAATGAGGGTTTTCAGGTATTGGGTACGTATGAGGATGCAAATTAGAATAAAAGTGGAGAAATTATATGTACTAACCCATATACCAGGCAATAATGCTTTCGGTCTGTATGTTACTGAATACCTCCATGTGAAGTATCCTCGGCTTCCACTTCCCATATTCGAAGAGATATTGACAATGTACTGCGGGCATAGGACATTGAGTACTTTCGGACGAGAAGTCGGAGTGGACAAGCAGGTCAGGTGGCAAAAGGTAAAGAATGTTATGAATGTTATTGATGGTTTTTTTTAAGTAAACTGTGTATAATTTTTTGGATCGTGTTCCCGTCTGTCAGGTGACTGACGAAGCATTAGAGAATCTTGAGAGTAAAAAGCCGCGTAATATTGGAAAGGTGACTGCTGATGCTGTTGGTGCAATTGTCGGGGCATTGTATTCTGATCAGGTACGATCGTTCCTCTGGGGAATATTATAGGATTTATGCAAAAGTAGTGTACACGCGTCATACTTGTTTGTCTTGCTTATTCTCTGAAGGGCCCGACTGCAGCAAAGAATTTTATTCACGATCAATTTCTGTCGCGTGACGTTAATGTTGGTGCAATATTTGAGAAGCACATTGTGAATCCTAAACGGGACTTATCTTATTTACTGAGAAGATATTCACAGGAGCCGCCCATTTCGAGGTGCAGATGATAGTAAATGGACCTTGTAATCATATATTTCAGTCAAATTTACCAATTTTGTCTGCTAGGTTGATGGCAGAAACTGGCCGATTCTCAAAGTCACCGGTATTTATCGTTGGTGTCTATTCAGGGGAAAAAAAAATAGGAGAAGGATTTGGAAGTTCTCTCAAGATGGCAGAATTTAGGGTATTGTTCAACGTTCAGCTTTTCTTCTCGTTTTCTGTCTTAACTAATTCGTTATTTGCTGTTCTCTACCAAAAGGCTGCTAGAGAAGCGTTGAAAACGCACTATTTAAAAGAGATCAAAGACTTCGAATTACCATCAGTCGTAGATAACGATAACGTTGTGTATAGGCCAACCGAGATTGAAGACACGCCTGCTGTCGTATAATGAAGTTCGTAGTGTGTAAATATGTCATGTGTAATGTCGTCAAATTTGACTATAGATATAAAATTGATTGCCAAGAGGAAACATGGTTGTTTCTAGATGATAGTAATTGACTTCTATTCTTGACTGTTCGATTGTTAGACTTTTTGCGTCCAGGCATTGCAAACATTGACCATCATGAACGTCCTATCATGAGGATTAGTATAACTTCCTTAACAGTATACATACCTTTAGCAATATTAACTTTTCAGTTCTGTGAGAATTGCTGTCTTGTCTAGCGTTTATAAAGTATGTACACTAACTGGGAACTTATTGTTAACGTCTTCCTAAATTTTTCTTTATTATTGATGCATACTTCCAGAAGCTGAGATATCTTGATTGTACAAAGAGATAAGAGAGTGATTAGAGACATGGAAAATTCTTAACACAAAAACTTCACAACGTTATAAGAACAAAAATTAAAATAACCATATTATATGAATGTCAATGGTCTCGTTGGCAAATGCTGAGGCTATAATTTCAAACAATAATATTCAAGACATTTTTAATATACCAGAATTTTTTATATTCTTCTTTGTTGCTCAATTTTATAATACCCGGGAAATTTAATGAAGCTCTTAATTGATTAATTAATAATATTATTCTTATTGTAGGTCTCGATATAGTTTTGGGACGAATACATAGTTTTTATTGTTCGGGTTATTTTTCTTTAATTACGGATGTGGTTTAACGTATAAATGCGAACGACTATAAGATTGTAGTGTAAAATTCGAGGCTTCTATTGATAATTGACTCCTAACAATTGACCTCACTTAGTATTAAATCTATATTCGAAAACTCATAGATGTGATATAGTCTGTATGTGATATTAAATTTGCTTTACTCTCTAGGGGTGTTGGCGACTTTTGCGACGGACTATTTATAGTTTGATTTATAATCTATTCACTCCCTATTGGATTTAAGTCAGAACTGTTAGAAGGCCAACAAGCCCTACATGTTTATTCGAACTACGTTTGTGTTCCACAATCATTTTTGAAAAAAATTCTATTATGATATTTATTTTATTTTCTCGTCCGAACGAGCTTCCACTCAATTTTTCGCAAAATCTTCTTTTTTATTCTCAGGCACAATAACGATATTTTCGGGAATCTGTAATAACTCATCACCTGAATTTTCTTCGCTCCCAACAGCTTCTTCAAATCCTGTAAGGAGTGGGTCGTTCTCGTATGTTGGAAATAAGTACCTGAATTAACACAAACAAGATTCGCGACTTTGGTACTAAAAAAATAATAACAGAAATTGAGCAAGACATAAATTAATCATACTGAGGATCTGTCCAGAACGCATGATTCAGATCAGGAACTTTGCTGAAACAGTTCTGCTTCTCCATATGCTCCGTTAATTGAGGTAATGTATCGAACGACGCGTTGCAAGACATGCAGGAATTAATGGATGTCTTTTGACGAATGTAGTTTATTAGAGCAATCATCTTATAAAAATCAAGACCTAATAAAGGATGATAACATTATTTTGATGCATGCAAAAAAGAAAAAAAGAAATAACAACACACGCCTGTTTGTTACCCATTTGTCTTTGAACCCCGTGTAGATCAAAGTTATGTTTTTGTTTCATATGTAGAGAGGCTTCTTTAGGAGAGATAGCTACGAGTTCGCAAAATAAACAAGCAGTTGGATCTGGCTCGACTATTTCATTCCAATCTTCCCATGAACTTTTGTCGTAAAAATAAATTGTCGAGTATTTATAATTAATTCTACAATTGCCAGCATCGAAATATTGTCGGCACTTACTCATCTCTTCTGTCTTCATCTGAATCATATCTCTCTCTTTCAAACGTTTCCCAATTCATCCCTGGCTCCTGTTCATTGTGTTGATTGATGAGCTGTGGATTACGATTGATATGAAAGCAGTACTGACGTATTCTTACCAGATAGTTAATAACATAAAATTGATCGTAAATTCTGTTTCGCGCATTGATTTTAAAATGTTTCTTCTTGCGCATATGCTTACGAAGCACTGTAGAAGTAACAAATACTTTCTCACAATAAATACATTGTAAACTATTGGAAGCATTTACAAATGGGCCTAATCAATATACAGACATTATTAGTTTATGACTAATGACGAAATAAATATTCTTACCTGGCCAATTTCTTCTCCAAAATCTCGAGAAACTCGTTAACGTTGACGAGATTATCTGCGAGACCAATATTAAAATTATGTTCATCAAACATGTGACGAAATAGAACTGCTCTACCGTGTTAAAAGATTGACAAGTTTATCTCAATTGTGATAAACAGGGAACAATTATACTACAACATAACAATACCAGATAATCTATCAGTTACCTATTCTCACAGATATTTTTACAGAAGAGACATTTGCGTTCATGTTTAGCTTCTTCGATACGCTCATGCGCTTGAATTGCAAGTATTTCGTTCTGTAGCCCCACGATGTTAAAAGCAATTTGTTAACAGTAAAGTTTATACAATTATATAAACAAGCCTTCTGCTAAACAATCACAATCATGTACAGACCAATTTCTCACGCTGAAGCCTTTCGCGAAGTTCTTTATCTTGCAGCATTCTGCCGGGGTCAATAGAATATATTTCACCTGAAATGACCAAAGTTTATTTCAAACTAATGCCAACAATTATAGACACGTACTATTCTACATACCTTCTTCTCCAGTTTCTTTTCTCCCGACATTCTCCACACCTTCTTCAGCAACTTTTTTTGCCCAATGGTCTAAATACCTTTCCAGTATCATATAAACATGATGAAAATTAACAAACTGCAATTTATGCACCAATTTCAAATGATCTACTAGTGCAGTGCTAGTGGTTAATGGTTCTTCCAAGGAACAATCGGGTAATGGGCAACGAACAGACAATGTTATGTGATAAGGAGGGAGAGAATTCTCCTGAGTATCATTTGCGACTGATTCGTTTTCAGAAGATTCGCATTCGTCTGATGATGAAAGCTGCCGATGCATATTTGAATTAGACTTATCATTATTGGACAGAGAGGTATCTCTCAGTACTGAAAATTCGTTATGCTGTAAAGTATCATTACTGGTTCCCTGTTGCACTTGTTGCTGCTGGAACCCGCCACGGGAACGCCAAGTATTGTTTCCTCTACCATTTCCTCTATTACTACTGGCAGTTGAGAATTGGTTACTAATGTGCTGTCCGCGCGACTGCCCACGAGTACCGAATCCCGAACGTCCGCGAGCGGTATGGCGAGATCTCACAGTAGTCCATTCGTCCTCATTCATTGCAAATACGAATCATGAATGATTCGGTTCAACGGTGGATGAAAAATTAGATGTTTGGGATCACATGAGATTAAATTGTTACAATTCATCAAATTTAAAAAATCTTGCGTGTGCTGACACAGATGTTCATAAGAACACCTCATAAAATGTAGATACTCTGACAATGATTACGAAGACAGAGTTACAACATAAAAATTCTCTGATGATGTTACTACTTTCTAGCATTTGATTTTCTAACTTTATTTCTTTATTAATTTTACGCGTTCGATTGCAGTGAGATCTTGTCGAATAACGTTCGTTCGATTCGTTGCAGTATTACTCCTAATTCATCTGCATAGTCCAAACTTAGAAATCAAACACTTATAAGAAGCAAACCGCTCTCGGCCATACTTTCACACTGGAGGCCTAACAACCTGCAACACATCTGCAACTACATCTCTCACATTAAATCCCCAGCTGTCTTCCATTTTCGCTCTAAGTAGTGACATTCGTTTTGTTCCATACATGAGACTTCTATCATCCACGGGTTCACGAAGAATCAGTCTGTGAGCAAAGACTTTCTCGGCTGTTATAAGAATTAAATCCGGTGTTATAAATGAGCGATCGAATATTACTGCCACAGCCCTGTTAAATCATCAAATTGGAAAGATAAACGATCACAAAGTATGATACGGACAAACAAAAGGTAAACGTTAACACGCGGCCAAAGATACAAACTACTGTTTAACGAACAATTAACTCACTTAGCAAGCTTTTCAAAATCACGCGAAGTTCTAGCCGTTATTCCTCCCTTGATCAGTCTGTGCATGCGCAAACCGACCACTATATCTCTCATATACCGTTGCATGTCATTATGGACAGATACTTTATCTATTTTTTTCTCTAGTTCTTTGATTTCCTATATCAATGTCAGCATTGTAAGAAAGCGCGAAAATAGAGCGAAGGCGAGAAGAATGTAAACAGTGGCGTAAATGTGAATAAATGTACCATCAGTTTGATAGGTTCTCCCCTATACATTCCGTTCGCTGGTAATCTCGATGTATCGTTCTCGTATTCATAACTTATGAAAAATCTGTCAAGCTCCATAATATTCAAAAAAGGCACTCATAAATATTCGATCTTTCAACCTATTAGGTTATGCGTCTTCAGAATAACGGCTTCATACAGTTATATAAGTATATACACATTTCCGTTTTCTTTGCAACACCTACCAACTGATTAGGTAAATTGAGGCGTTCCTCCGTAGTTGGTAATAATACGATTACAATGAAAGGCTTCGGGAGACTATGCGATTCCTTTCGATAACAGAATCGTTTTTTAATTATCGTCTTCATAAAGAATAATAAAAATATAGGGTTAATAACAAAATAATATTCAGGCGAGAGTATTTATCATGCACCCTCTTCTATCAAATCGTTCGTACATTCTTCTCTACATTTCCGCTTTACCTCCAACAGGAAAAATTGAATTTCCTCATCTCCCTCGTCTAATCTCTCTATTATGACAGCCTGCGCTATATGCTTTGCAAACAAGAATGGGGATGGCGGATTACTCCCCCCCGAAGTTACGATGCTGTCATGTCTCCTCTTTGACTTTGATATTGTAAAATCCATCGGCGACAGCGGCAGCTGTGGTTGACTGTTATACGAAGGATGATGTGTTGTATGATTGCGTTGAGAAAGGTCTGGTCGAAGACTGTACGAGTGAGATGGGAAAGGCGAAGAAGTTAATGAAGGTATATACGGAGTTTCCGAATTTGTAAAGGACGACATTGAGGACGTAGACGAGGATGGTGGAAAGTTATTGTCACGTCGGCGTGCATTTGTCAGGATTGGATTTCTTGTGAACGAATTCGTTTGATCAGCAGATTTTATTCTATCTCTTGGCTAGACAATAATATCGATATGTTATTTGAAAATTGTCGGGAAAAAAAAAGCCAGTGAAAGAAAATTCTTGGAACTCATACCTCGGTGGTTTCCTCAGTTTCTGTTTCTGACGAACTATAGTACCGGTTCTCAACTTCGACCTGTATCTCGCTTGCTACTCCCATAATTTCCACGTTTTCCAACTCCTTACTATCTCTGGATTGTTGATTAGATGCACCAGATACATGCGAATAATTTGATTTTCGCCTGCGTGATCGGCCTTCGCTCGTCTTCCCCTCGTATCCTCTAGCGTCTGTAGTCAAACTCGTTGAACTCGCAGTTCGGATAGACCTGTAAGATTTCTGCCTGCTCATTCTATGCAGACCCCCGTTGTCTTCTGCTGAATGTGTAGCGATTGAAGCATCATCACGAGAGCGGGCAAACAGGGAAGACGTGAAATCTGCTAGTGTTTGGGACGGCTCACAGGTTATGGTCGAACACGTTAGACCGAACACGATCAAGAGGATCTGAAAATGGTAAATGGGTAAGAAAAGGTTAATTAAAAAATGCTGCTTGGTGGTTTCGTAGATCCTAAGTGGTTCTCAGTAGTAGTCTTGGTTTAACCTGCTCGGTCATATTTCGCAGATCGTCCATATCCTCAGATCGTGCAGTAAGGATAAGATGTTTGTTTGTTGATATAAGACATAGTAATATTGCTATAAAAACATCTTCTGACAGACCAGACCGTTTAAGAGCTTGTAACCGCGACTTTAACAAAAAGTTTTCCGAAGGCATCTGACAGCAAAGTGTATGTTAACATTAGTGGAAATAACATGATTATGTTACTTCCACTTAGCTTAGGTTATGACACAAAATTCAAGTCATTCAAGTGACGTGTGGGTCGCAAAATTGCAGATCTATCAAAAACGGCAACAGGTTGAAGCAGATGACACCAAAGATACATGGTTTATTTGACGTGCATTGCGCTTGGGGTATTCTTTATGGTCTATTCGTTCTCTTCTCTC